TGTGGGGGACTAAAAGAAGAGATGGAGGATGAGATTGGTGTGGTAAGGCATAGATATTCTTAAAATGAGTGGTTCAGATTTGTTAAAGGTATAATTAGATTTTGGATAAATTAAAATGAATGGTTCAAATTTGCTAAGAGAAAGATGGTTGAATGTCTAACAGTTCTTTCACATTTTATTTCTTCAAACAGGCTCTATAACATTGTAAACAGGTCTCTATAACATGTAGGGGAAAAGAGTGAGAGAGAGAGAGAGATGGTTGTAATTTTTTTTAATCTTCCACGTTCTTCCACATTTTTTTTTAATTACTAAAACTTATTTGATTGTCTCAAAATATATATTTGATTATCATAAAACAAACTTTTTAATTAATTAATTAATGTGTATTTGATTTTGTTGTTGAACCAAATAAAATAATAAGATTGAATGTATATTAGCTTTTGTTGTGAACTTAAAAAAAATAAAAAAATAAGTTGTTAAATTAAATATATTAAAAAAGAATAAAAAAAGATTGAAGGGATATTTAGCTAAAACCTAAAAAAAAAAAAAAAAAAAAAAAAAAGAAGTTGTTTAACATTAAATAATTAAAAAGAAAGAAAAAGATTGAAGGTATATTTAGCCTTTATTGTGAATCTTACCAAAAAAAAAAAATTGTTAACATTTAAATATATTTAAAAAGAAAGAAAAAAGATTGAAGGTATATTTAACTTTTGTTGTGAACCTTAAAAAAAATAAATAAATAAAAAATAAAAAAATAAATAAAAAATTGTTAACATTAAATATATTTAAAAAGAAAGAAAAAAGATTGAAGGTATATTTAGTTTTTGTTGTAAACCTTAAAATAAAAAAAAATAAAAAACAAAAATTGTTGTTAACATTAAATATATTAAAAAAGAAAGAAAAAATATTGAAGATATATTTAGCTTTTGTTGTGAACCTTAAAAAAAAAAAAAAGTTGTTAACATTAAATATAAAAAATAAAAATAAAATAAAAATGGGGATTAAAATGAGTTGGGGAAAATCCAAACCCATTAGGAAATGGGGAGGGTGGTACCCATGGGAAATGGGGAATAGAGAATGGAGAAAATTTATTATAGGGGAATGGGGATAGGGAATTAATATCCACCCCATTAATCCCCATTGCCATCCCTACATGTCAAAACTACTTCCAAAAACTAGGTCGTTGTCTAAAGACTACTATACCAACGCCAACACCAACACATTAATGATATGGGGGCATGGGCGGGCCACTACAAATCCGCCCCGCTATGCTACATTGCCATTTATAATTGGAACTTGGAAAGTGTGCTATGAGAGTTTATAGAGTTCATCACAGATTTTACTTTAATGATATATACTATCAATTTTGTTTGTTTGTTTGTTTTTTTATTTATTTATTTTTATTATTGTAAATCAACCACAAAAAATTTGATTGATATGATATTCATAATCATATAATTTGATCATATTTATATTAAAAAAAGAATGATCTATTTTAAAAAATGTATTTATTGTCAATTTTTATAAGATAATGAAATTATATAGTTATGAATATCAAATTAATAATATTTCTATGAATGATCTTCACACAAAACTCCACAAATGAAAAGTTCATATCATTAGAGTGGATCCGCGGTGAGCTCGCAGACCCAAATGTCACCTCTCTGGTCCACAATTCTTTTCCTTAAAAATAATATATATAAATTTAACATAAAAATAGATGTAATAAAAAAATTGAAGGTGGATTCCCTCTGATCCATCTGGGCCCATGGACTCATCACGAGTTTCGTTTTGATAATTTATACTGTTGAATTTGTCAGACATTTCTGATGGAAATAGAGATGATCAACATAATATGGTGTGACTCTCCGCATCCAATTATTTCCCATAGCTTGGTGATTGATCCTTCTGGCAAGAAGGATGTAAATCTAGAAGGTTTGGTTTTAATTCCAAAATGAAGAGATAAGATTATATGAAGCATTGTGACTATTGGGTTTGGAGACTCAATACCAATGGTTATAACCATTGATGAAGAGATATCATGTAGCGTATAAATAGATGGCCGGAACAATGGAACAACATACTTGGAATTGTTAATTATTTTCTCTCTTTGTTTTAACTTTTGGATTGTATATTCTTTTTTTTTTTTTTTGATCAGCAAAATGAAAATATATTGAAGATAAAGCAATATACAATCGACAAAACAGCAACAAGTCCGCCGGGGGGGGTTACAAAGTTTGGCGAGGAGCCAATCAAACACCCGAACTCCAAAACTGGACTACTGAACAAAAAACAAAAGAACAAACAAACAGCAGCAAGGCGAAATTGCAGCTGAAGGCCTGAGAATTAGCACAACAACAATCCTAACAACAATCCATACATCACCACCTGCTGAAGGCCTGAGAATCATCATTAGTGGCTGCAAACAAGACATCAACAACAAACCAAACTCCAAGCCAAAACCAATTTCCTAACAAGCATAAACCAAACAGAGCAACTCTGCAATGCTGGAGCTTCCTGCGCAACAATCTCTGGGCCTGAGAATCTGCACTAGTGGCTGTGAGTTCCTTCTTAACCTCTTCAGACTTAGGCAGCTAAATCTGCTACAGGGAAAATCTGCTACAGCTAAATTAATCAATGAACACAGAGCTGCACCCAGGAAGGCCCACTACAAGAAACAGCGGACTGCCTGATCTGATTACCTACACAGAATCTGCTTACAGATTTGCCTGCTAATTGACGCACTGCCTGATCTGATGGAGGTTTGAGACAACGTCATGGACTGAGTAATCGACCCTGAAGGACCACTTCACCCACAGAGCAATCTGCAGTTTCAACCTCTCACTTAGACCTGCAAAATCTGGATTAACCCCCTTAAATCTGCACTCGTTTCTTAACTTCCATACAGACCACATCACTAGTGCTGGAACAGCCTACCAAGCTTTGTGAACCCAAGACTTCGCTTTACTCCCAGACCAGCATTGGAGCAAACCCTTAACTGAACCCGGGATGACCCAATGCTGATCCCATCAACTAGCCATGGCTGCCCAGCACTTCCAAACCTGTGGGCAAAACAGCAGCACATGCTCCAACGACTTCACAACAGATTGACAAAAAACACACTGGGTCTTTGCATTGGGAGGGAGAACCCCAATCCTCTGAAGGAAGAGAGAAGTCTTAATGCGGCCTCTCCAAGCAAGCCAGCAAAGGAACTGCATCTTGGGAGGTACCAGGCTTACCCACACCCCAGCTGGCACTCTCGACTCAGGGCCTTTATTTGCACCCCACCAACTCCACACCGATAATGTTGAGAACTTACCAGATGTTGATGCTAGCCAAGAGCAAGAGTCTTCAGATTCGACTCTAAGAACAGGAGATGAGTCCAGGAATGCAGTCAGCCTCTGCAGCTCCTCTTCCTCCCATGCCAACAATCTCCTTCTGAACTGGAGCTGCCATACCCCGAGTTTCTTTTTGGCACTAATTTGCTGTAATGTTCCATCCTTCTCAATGGATAGACTGAACAGTCTAGGATAATCCTCATTCAGACTTCTACCATTGAGCCAAGCATCCAACCAAAACTGGATCCTTCTCCCGTTTCCCACTGATAGCTTGAAGTTCTGGGAATAAAACTCACCCAAAGACTGGTTATTTAAATTGAGCTGCACAATATCCTTCCATACAGTAGACGCCCCATCTGTGTTGGGCAAAGTTGGTGCCCAATCCCCTCCTGAACGCCCATACCTTGAGCAAACAACTGATTTCCACAAGGTTTTATCCTCTGACCCAAATCTCCACCACCATTTTAACAACAAACAGTCGTTCACCTCACCCAAATCTCTCACACCCAAGCCCCCTTGACTTTTATTCCTAGTTACCTCACCCCAATTAACTAAGTGTACACACCTCCCATCCTTTGCTCCGCCCCACAAGAAATTTGATTGAATTTTAGCCAATGCCTTAGCAACCCCCTTAGGCATCTTGAAAATAGATAGAAAGTAAGTAGGCAAATTGGAAAGGACTGATTTAATTAAAGTCAAACGCCCAGCAAAAGACAGCAGCTTACTCTTCCAAGATGACAACCTCTTGCTCACCTTTTCCAGTATTGGGTTCCAAGTGCACTTCCTCTTTGGGTTAGCCCCTAGAGGCAAACCTAAAAAGTTAAAAGGTAAGTTCTTCAAATGGCAATTCAAACTTAGAGCTAAACCCAAAATTTCATCTTCTTGGAAGCCCACACCGCATATAGCGCTTTTGTGATAATTTATTTTTAATCCAGACATCACTTCAAAACACCTCAACACCCTCTTAATATTAATCACCTCCTCATGATCACCCTCACAAAACACTATAGTATCGTCTGCAAACTGGAGGTGAGAAATACGCAAATCATTACCTCCCACAGAGGCTCCTCTAAACAAGCCCTTCTCTACCGCCCTTGCTAGTAAGAGGTTAAGAGCTTCCGCTGCTATTATAAACAAAAAGGGTGATAGGGGGTCGCCCTGCCTTAGCCCCTTCTGAGGCTGGAATTCCTCTGTCGGAGAGCCATTAACCAACACTGAAACCCTGGCTGTAGCAATGCAACTCCTCATCCAAACTAACCATTTCTCTCCGAAACCCAGATTATTCATCATCGACCACAGAAACTCCCAATTGAGTGAGTCATAAGCTTTTTCAAAGTCCAATTTTAGGATAATGCCTTTCTTCTTCGATCTTTTCCAAGCATCTACAACTTCATTAGCTATTAGCACACCATCTAGGATTTGCCTCCCACACACAAAAGCGGACTGAACCTCGTTGATCACTGCTGGCAACACTCTCTTAAGCCTCCTTGAGAGCACTTTTGCCAAAATTTTATAGACCGAGCTCACCAAACTGATAGGTCTATAATCTCCCAAGCCTATGGGATTAACCTTCTTAGGTATAAGAACTATGAAAGAGCTATTAACCCCTCTCGCTAGCTTACCATTTTGGTGAAATTCATTGACCATACTAATGATCTCCCCTTACAAGATTGACCAGCAACTTTTAATGAAATTAAGATTAAAACCATCTGGGCCTGGGGCTTTGTTCCCATCGCAAGCCTGCACAGCTTCCCAAACCTCATCTTCTGTGAAAGCAGCTTCCAAACTACCAACATCCGCAGGGCTAATAATAGCAAAAGGGCCAAGAAGTTTTGGCCTTAGCTTCCAATCCTCAGAGAATAGTTGACTAAAATGCCTAACCACTTCCTGCTTGACCTGAACCGGATCCTCCACTCTCCTACCCTCCACTACAACAGAGTCAAGAAAATTCTTCCTCTGCCTTCTGCTAGCCATAATGTGAAAGAACCTAGTGTTTTTATCACCAGACTGAGCCCACATCTGCCTAGACTTTTGGTGCCATAGCCTCTTCTTGCTTCTACCCAGCTGCCACACCTGGCTCCTTACTTCTCTTCTTCTCATCAGTTCCACTTCCTCTAGAGATCTAGACTCTACCTTCAAATCCCATTCATGAAGCTCCTCCTCAGCCTTCTGTAATTGAGTATCAATATTACCAAACACCACCTTGTTCCACATCCTTAAGTGGCTCCTAAGCAGGTTTAGTTTTCTTATCACACCCTTGAACTTGAGCTTCCTCCCACCTCTTCTTTACCTCTGAAATGAAGGATGGATGAGATAACCAGGCATTGATAAATTTAAAAGGCTTTGGTCCCCAATCCCTACCATCTTCCTGTATCAAAATGGGACAGTGATCTGAGATAGACCTTGGGAGACCCCATTGCTTAAACGAAAATTTTTCCATCCACTTCACATCTAACAAAAATCTATCGATCCTACTCCACCTGTTCCCATCCATGGCATTACACCAAGTATACTGCCTCCCAAGCAGAGGCATATCAGTTAGTTCCAATTTTTCCACAAGTTCATTAAAATCCTTCATCCCCCTATCTCTGGATAAACAACCCTTCCTTTCCCCCATAAATCTAATTTCATTAAAATCCCCTCCAACACACCACGGATTTGGAAAATGATGATGAATACCCACAAGAGATTTCCATAACTGCCTCCTCCCAAGAACGTCATTAGGAGCATAGATATTTACAAGGGAACACTGAAAAGAAGGACTAGAGGTACCTGATAAAATGATGAAGTTTTTACCACTGCAGCAACACTTAAGCTCGAAGATTTGTGGCCTCCATATAGACAGTAGACCTCCAGCACTTCCCACAGAATCCACCACCATATATTCCATTTCTTCATAGGGCCAAATTGATTTCACAAAATGATCCTCCATAATTCTTCTCTTGGTCTCCTGAAGAAAGAGCACATCAACCCCTCTCTCCCTCACCAATCTCTTTATCTTTCCCCTCTTTTCTGGTCTTCCCAAACCTCACACATTCCAAGATAATATCTTCATTTAAGCACACTATTGATTCCCAATCTCCTCCGGACAGCCCTCTAAACTTCGGTTGCCCTGCCTCCTCCTCCAAATCTGCTCCTATCCTTCTCTTCCAGCTCCACAATTCTGCCCACAACCTCTTCCTCTTTGCCTTGGTAGTCCATACCCAGCTCGGTGCCTACTCTCACTGTTGCCAAAGCCTCCTCAACCAGTTGCTTCCTTCTGTTCGGTGCTAGGGACTGAGAATTAGAAACCATTAGTGAAGCTGCTGCTTCTGTCGAAGCTCTGAGGATAGCTCCCCGTTGGAAGCCCAGCCTACCAACTACACCTCTCCTTCAGTCCGTGCCTTTTTTCCAAGACTTTCCCCTCCTCTGTGCTTCTCCAACCCGTATAAGACTCCCATTTGCAGTCCGTTGAACCCTTTTTCTCTGATTTGGTTTATTTGTTTGGGCCTCATCTGGTCTACTTAAAAGCTGGGCCATATTCTCACTTAAATCCGAGCCCAACTCCTGAATCAGTCCAATGGGCTCAACCTCTTTCTGTACTCCTTCAATTAAAACTTCTAAATTTATGCTGGGCCTTTCCTCTACTGGCCCACTCAGCTCCCTAAGTAGGCCCATGCTGCGTATGTCCTCTTCTCTACTATGAACTCCGCTCGTTCTTGCCAGGTGGGAGTTGACTTCCTGCCCCATCCCTCTCACCTTGGAACATGCGCCTACACGGTCATTCCCCACGTTCCTCCCAACTGCAACCCCTGCATTTGCATGCTCCCCATCATTATCCCTACCCTGCACCTCTGAGCTACCCATCACTGTCTCCACAACCCGAGAAGCCACTTCCAGCTCTTCACTCACCATCCCCTCCCTTCCCGCATACGCTACCTGAGCACTCTTGCAAGTTCCACCATTGCCTTCCACCTGGTCTACCTCATCTTCACCTTTGGAGTGCATCCAACTATGGTCTTTACCTCTGCTCTCGAAAGAACTATGACATAAGCTTTTAGGCAACTCTTCACAGACTCTAACCGGGATTAGACTTCCTTTGTGCTGCAAAAAAATTGTTGTGTTGATCCACTCCATACATCTCGTAATCACTCTGACTCGAGTCTGTTGAAAAGTTAAAGGGTTATTGAAGTCCTCTTCATATTGAACAACAAGCCTCCAATTACTGCCTATGCTTCGAACTGTCGTGATACTCCATAAGTTAATGGGGATGCCAAAACAATGCAGCCATACACACCTCTCTTGCTCTAAGAACTGGCCTTTGTCCCACTCAGTGATTGATTCGCACCACTGCTTTCCCCACCTCTGCAACTCTTTCATACCTTCCTGCTTTTGCTGTTCTGTGGGAAAAGTTACCAGAACTATTTTACCTCCCCCCTCTCTAGCAATTACATCTTTCATGCCTCTGCATCTCATTTCCTCTTGAAATGCCTCGAATGCTAAGAAGCTGTTCAACTGAACTAGTAGACTTTCACTCCCCCACCCATTCCCTTCCTCAAAGACTTTTAACACCACCCTATCCTTATCCCTTACTTCATCACTTAGTACTGCCTCTGCATAGGATTTCTAGACTCCATTTCCTTTCCACTGCTTTGATTGCACCCACCGATTCACTATACGACCTTCATCTTCTCTGCTCTGCCCCTTAGACTTCTGCTGCCCCACTGACAGTGGTTTTTGATACTCAGCACACTTGACCCTCAGTGCCTTGTTTCCACACCACAATCCATCTGCCTTTTGAATCGCCACCCGTGCAGCTACCTCACAGTCGTATCTAACGAACCCAAACCTGGAATTTGTTGCTTTCCTCCTCTTCCCCGGGATGAACACATCTTTAACTAGACCAAACTTCCGAAAAAGATAGAACAAGCCTGGAGGATCCATTGATTCAGGGATGTTATCCACGAAAACTGTGATCAGAACTACTTCCCTTGACTGACCACTATGATTGCCCACGCTTCTCCTTCGAATGACTGGGTTCCAGCCCCCCTGATCCAACTCACTTCTCATTATACCTTTAACTCTCAATATATGTAGTACTCTTCCCCAACTCTTCTTGATTGTATATTCTTCTTACGTGATAAACACCCTCACGGGATTATCAAACTTTGCCATTGTTTATTTTTCTTTCAACTTTATATATATCATTCACACAAAAAATTAAGTCAATCTAACAATCATAGCCTATTTCATTTATCGCGTTTGTCAAAAAAAAAAAAATTGATATATAAATCCACTTTTTAGACCTATTTTCTAAACCTAATGATGTATAAATGATATGATTGATTGATGATTAGAGAAGATACAAGAGAAAATATTACCTTTAATATCCTAATTGAATGTCACATCATTGGTCTAAAAAGTGAGTCTAATTTTTGGTTTTTAATAGCAATGCTAAAAAAAAAAATGGTCTACTTGAAAAAACACAATTGTCATTCAATTTTTTATTTATTTAATAACAAATGCGATAAATTGAATAGTTTACGATTATTAGATCAATCTAATATTTTTTTATAAATAATATATATGAAGTATAGTACCAGACAAAATGAAGAATTTAAATTATTAAAAAAAAAGACCTTAATAAACCCTAAAAATTTGAACAGTGTCTACTAATCCAGATTATGAATTGAAAGAAGTCCACCTAAAAAAACATAGGTTATTAGATGGTACCTCGCGTCACGGAAGGATGGCGCTTTGTCACTAATTATGTTATTTTTTCTCTTTACAGTTGGTAAATGTTGCTTTTGCAATAAAAATAAACTACCATAAAATCTGTGCTATGTATGGTTTTAAATAATTAATTAAAAAATTATTTTAAAAATTAAATACAATATTTTTAAAATTTAAAAGAAAAAATATAATTGAAATCATGTAAATAAGTTATTTTCATTTAAATTGCACTGAAATTGTGTCTAATTATGTTATGATTAGGACTGAGCATAGGGTTATCTGAGCCATCCAACCCATCCAACCTGAACCGATCCGCATACAAATGGACGGTCTCACAAACACAATACAGGTGGATGCGGTTTGAAATATGGCATAATTGCGAGTTGCGGGTGGGTTGCGGGTTTAACCCGCACTCGCAAGAACTCGCCTGCACTTAGATTATTTATTTATTTATTTATTTTAATAAAAAAAACTTGAACCGTTGATTTCATTCGTCCTATTCTAGATATTTTTGGTCAACACACCAAACCCTAATTTCATGATGAACATTGTTTTTGAATGTTTTTGTTTTTCTTTGTTTTGTAAACATTGTAGGAAATTAAATCTACTTCTTCATGGAAAGAAAATTGAATCTGTTAATTACTTTTGAAATTGAAATCAATCTTCTATTATATTGAATCTGAAAATTGAAAAAAGTCCAATCTGCAAACTGTCTGCACATTCGTGAACCCTATCCGCACAAACTGCAACCCACACTGCGGGCGGTTGTGGGTTGAATTTTTCCCAAACTACATATATGCAGGCAAGTCCAAACTGATCTGCAAACAGTCCAAAATCGAACCGCAAACACCCCTAGTTATGATTAATGTTTTATTTAAGTACTGACTAATAAATATGTGTGTCATCTTGTGATACACTACAAAAAAATTGACTTTTTGCGACGGCAAAATGCCGTCGCAAATACTCAAATTGCCGTCTCAAAAGGTTTTTTACGACGGCAGATGACTTTTAGCGACGGTAAGTAGGGGGTCGTAACAAAAGGGGTTGCAAAAAGGTTTTAGCGACGTCACGTTGCCGTCGCCTTTTTTTTTGTGACGGCAAAGCTGCCTTTTTGCGACAGCAAAATTCCATCGCCATTAATATGGAAAAATCTGTCATTTTTTGAGACGGCACTATGTTGTTGTCGCTAAAGGTGTTATTTGCGACGGCAAAAAGGCCGTCGCTAAAGAACTTTCATTGCGACGGATACCTACCGTCGCTAAAAAAATATTTGAGACAGCATGATATGCCGTCTCTAAAAGATTATTTGCGACGACAAAGAGTACCGTCGCAAAAGGCTTTTGTCTCAACTCTGCCGATATCATTTGCGACGACAATGTGGTGCCGTCTCAAAAAAAAAAAAAAAAAACCATAAATGGTTGATAGGCAGGTGAATTATAAGATTTTCTTCAACTAGATAATGATTTTGGAAAGGAAAGATATTAATAGATATGCAGTTCTCACATTTCATTTCAAATTCTTGTAAACCCTATGAACGAAACTGAATTTCATAAACGAGTACATAAATAAATAATCTACACAGCCAAAAAGACTAAAATGGCACTGTATAGATGCAACCATAAGGCGATGGTGTCTTCAGCCCAAAATAAAGATCAACAAATCCTCTTACAAATTGAAAACTACTTGACACATTTATCATATATGATGGAGCCAAAAATAATTAAATGTGAAGTTCGTTTTTCTTCTCATTGAGTAGGGTTAGGGTTTCTGCTTTCCTCTTCTTGATTTCACCAACCAGCCTCTTAACTTAAGCAATGTATCCATCAACATCAAATTTCCTTTTACAGCCAGTGTAGTTCATGTATCGTATTTTCCCGAAAACTGGTCGTTCTTGCCAACCCTGCAAAGCCATTCAAGGACAAAACTCGATGCAATCATTGAGAGTTTTACAAGCATTTAAAGAGTTGGTTATTATTTTCTTAAAAAAAAAAATCATCTAGACCTGATCATGCACACCACATATTGACCACATTCAACCAACATATCCATTTGGATCTCTTCCATCTATTTTATACTGTATGCAAAGTTCATATTAGCAATGAAACTTGACGGAAATTCAATCATAACTACATGCACACAGTGAAGAAATGCTTAATTTACCTTATCATTTAGATATATTGATATTGCAAGAGCATCTTCAGGCCCACTTGTCCATTCAAGAATCTTTTTTGCCCAGTACATCTAGATTACAGTTCTTGACCTCATTAGATTAACATATTAAAATTGAATAATAATAATAATAATAATAATAATAATAATAATAATAATAATAATAATTGGAAAGCAAGCAGAAGAATAAATTTCCAATCTACTTTAGAGATCAGCAAACCAACTCCACATGAATCATTGACTTTGCTTATTATTCAGTAGTTGATGATGATGCATCAAGATTATATTTTTAACTTGATCGCTGAGACATGGTCCTTCCAGATGAAAAGTCACAAAGACTTGTAAATGAAGTGTGATCGAGTTTTCTTATGAAGTATTTGGAGATAGGAGTTCTATTAGTTGTGTCTACCATTCCATATCCGTGTAAAGTGCAACAACTTGATTTCCACAACCCTTCATGAGCGACAGCTCAAAGTGAAAACCAAACTATACGTAATTAAGCCTAATATATCCTCGTTTCAACATCCTATCATACAAGGGCATCTCCAATAAGAACCGATTATTTTGACAAAAACCACTGTCAAATATATGACATTTGTGGCAATTCAAGATTCAAAGAAGCACAGATATCATGCAGTAGAAACACTCAGTTGACAAATTATTTCAATAGTTGAAGAAAATCTTATAATTCACCTACCTATCAAAAAAATTGGAATCACAAAACATATACTAATCTCCAATATCAACAACATTGACAAATCAAATATATTTGCATATACTATTCTGTTGATGAATAGGAATATACCTGGTTTCCATATAATAGAGTTCAGCGTGACAGAGTGAATTCATACTATTTTGGAAGCATGTCCTGTGTAAGGTAACCACTAACAAAAAGAAATGTTTTTGAATAAACAAGTAAAGATGAGTTAATGGAACAACAACTATTCACGAAATATAATGCTTAATCAACTGAAAATTATGTCCTATATTGCTGGTATTAGCAAGAACATACCAAAACAATACAAGATTAGAAATTTGATAGTAGAGGAACAAAGAAAAAAAAGGCACTGAAGAGTTAACTATGAAAGTATAAAGTTAAAAAAAAATGAAGCTGCTTTGACTGCATAAGACAGCATGTTTTTGATATTGCATTAAACCTTACCAAATAACACACACAGTTTCTAATTTTGTAAAGAAATGTATCTAGTATACAACATACATGTCAGAGGATATTTGATCTCCAGGATGAATGCTGGAGGGAAATATAATAATGATTGGCAAGTGAAACTCAACCCTAACAATATCATCCAAGAAGGCAAGAACCTTACAAGCAAATAAACAAGCTTATGCTATCTTTTGTGTAAGTAAAAAAACATTCATTCAAGAAGGCAAGAACCTTACAAGCAAATAAACAAGCTTATGCTATCTTTTGTGTAAGTAAAAAAACATTCATTCAATCATATGAACAGTAAACAGGAAATGAATACTCAATTTTGAAATAACTTCGGAACAAGACATCCTCACAATCTATGAAAATTTCTAGAACCAAATCATTTTGAGTTATCAATTTTGCAGTTAATTTTAAGTACTATATTCATTCAAAAACAAAGTAAATAAAAATAAAAAGTCAAAATCAAACAAAAATAAAAAAAACAATCGAAAAAATGAAGGAGAAAGAGATCAAACCAGGATGAGATCGAAGAATGCCTTGATCGACTTTGATGAACTCCGAATCAAAGTTCTTGAGTTCATCCTCGGTAGTCTTGTCATCAGACTTGGGAGTATCGACATGCTTTTTGCTCGATGCCGTCACGCTGCTCGCTACCGTTGCTCGACACCGTCGATTCGATGCTCGCCATTGTCTGCCTCTGCTCACAGTCGAGAGACAGAGAGATAGAGAGAGAGAGAGAGAGAGAGAGAGAGAGAGACGTAAGAAGAGATAGGGATTTTTGATAGGGTTTTTGGTTCAAAAGATTAGGGATTTTTGAGACTGGGGATTTTTGGTTGAGACGGAGTGAATTGGCTTCTTTGCAGGTTCTACTTGAGCGATTCAGTGATCAGAAATTGGTGATTCCCATCTGGAGACGAATAGTTTCCATGGATGACGGGAAATAGTTTCCATACTCATCGGCGAATCACACGAAGATGAGTTGCGTGAAGGTGTGGTGGGGAGAACTTAGGAAAATGATAAATCGCATGAAGAAAAGGCATTAGAGTTGAGCGTGAAAAGAAAGAGAGGGAAAACGAAATCAGAGAGCTAGGGTTTTGTGGGAAATTCGAACATTGGGAAATTTGAGATGGAGGTAAAAAATTGAGTTGCTGTTTGGTTGATTTTTTTTTTTTAAAAAAAGGTATTTTTAAATTTTAAAAAATTGTTTGATTTCGATTTTTTTCATTTAATTTTTTAAAAATTGAGTTTTTTATTTTTCTTATTTTTTTATTTTTAGTGAATTTTTAAAATTTAAAGTAATTTTTATTTTTTATATTTTTAGATGCACCTTATTTAGATGTATCTAAAAAGTAAAATATTTGTTCAAAAAAAATTTAAAAATCAATAAATGCACAAGAATACGAAAATGTAATAAATTTTCATATATATATATATATTAAATGCACAAGAATACGAAAATGTAATAAATTTTCATATATATATATATATATATACACACATATATACATATAGTATTTAGTGAATTTTATAAATATCTTTTTTTTTTCTCAAATATTATATTTTTAAAGTGTATTTATGTGTGGTGTATTTAAAAATTAAAAAAAATGCTTAGAATATTAAAAAAAATTACTGAAAGTAAATAAATAACACACATAACAAAAAAATTCAATTTCCTGAAAAATAAATACTGAAAATCTAAACCAAACAAGCTAATTATATCCTTCATAAAATTATATAAAATTGACAGGTATGGTAGTTTTGATTTTTAAAATTTTTTCATGAAACTAATTTTTAGTATATAAAAAATAAATTTGAATCAAGTTTCAGAAGGAGCGGCAGTAGTGGTGAAGTTGTGGTAGTGGTAGAGGAGATGGAGTGGCAATGGTGGATGAGAGATAATGGTAGTAATAATGGCAATAGCGGTGGTGGTCATATATAGTTCTACTCATTGATTTAAGTATGGCGTTTGTTTTGAGTTTCCAAATCATAATTCTACATCCATTTTTCAAAACTCAATTCAAAATATAATCATTACTTTTCAAAACTCATAACCAAACACATAATTCAAAATTCTTTTCAAAACTTAATTCAAATCTGTTTTTAAAATTGTTTAAATATTTAAATATTTAAATATTTTTAAAATATTTTAATTTTGTAAGAGACAGATAAAGAAGAGAGAAAGAGAGAGACAGAGTGATGAGCGAGAGACAGACAAAGTGGATGCTAAAAGTGTATTTTCTTATAGTGGATCGATAAATTGAGAAGGAGCTCAATAAATAGAGAAGATGGGAGGGAGAGAGTGAGCAAGGCGAACATAGTGAGGGAGAAATAGGGAAATATACAAGCAGAAAGAGAGAGAGAATAGTGATGAGTGAGAGAGAGACAAGGCGAGAGAGAGATAGACAGAGAAAGAAAGAGAGAGAGAGATAGAGGGAGAGATGAAAAGGAGAGAGAAACAAGAGATGAGCGAGAGATAGACAAAAAGAGAGAGAAATAGAGCGAAAAGAGATGAGGGAGAGAGAGACATAGAAAAAAAGAGAGACATAGAGAGAAGAGAGATGGTCGAGAGAGAGAGAGAGAAAAGAAATGAGAGAGATAGAGAGAAGAGAGATGAGCGAGAGAGACAGAGAGAGAAAACAGATGAGAGAGATAGAGAGAAGAGAGATAGACGAGAGACACAGAGAGAAAATAAGAAAGAGAAACAGATTGACAGAGAAAGAAGAGTAATGAGTGAAAGAGATAAAGAGAAGAGAGAGAGATAGAGATAGAGAGACAGGAAGATGAAAAAATGAATGAAAAGAGAAATGTTATATCAAAAGAGTAAGACGACATCATTTTTTTTTTAATTTTTTTTGCGATAGAAAAATATTATTGCATTTATTCAAACCAGTTTGTGACTGTATATATATATATATATATATATGAAGATCTTTTTGTTGATTGATCAAATTTTTTTAAAAAAGTCTTTATATAATGTTACGTGGGCCCAATCATCTTGTTTAGGTAATTCCTCTAATGGCCATCAATTGAAAAATAAATGTACAACTCTTCTTTGTTTTGAAGTTACATTTAACATATTGTATGTTAAATTTCACCTAATTTCTACGTCTAAAGGTAATTTTCTGCATTTCATTTGTTCTTGTTGACATAATTTTCTACACATCAAGCCGTTTAACAAAACTATTAATTGTAATAATCGTATTTCTTATTGCTATTACAAAATTATCATATTGACTCATAACTTTTTAACAATCAAATTTAAAATTTAGGCACAATAACAAATATGAAATAAAGTACCACTAAGAGGTAATGGTAAAGTAAATTTAAGATAAGATATAGTTTGATTATAATGTATTGTATTATCTAAACTAATTATAAATATTTTATTTTGTAAAGTTCATCCAGATAATTCATTTTTTATTGTTATCCCAAGTGAATGACCATTATATGGAAGTTCAACTAATTTAAATGAAATTATTCGTTTATTCAATTTCCAATCATTATCTTTATAATGTGTAATAATGCATTGATATTCTAATCATTGCTTTGCCTTCCACATGTGAGATGTTAAATAAATTTTTTCATTCAAAATTTTAAAAATATTAAATAATTCAATTTTGACTTCTTGATAATTCATAATACTATGTTTCTAGTAGATTTTTTTTGTGAAAAACCTCGGTATTGAGGTGTATAAGCTCCTTGAACTAATTTAGAAAAATCACTACATTTACTCATACTGAAAGGGTGGCTGATAATTTATTTAAAATTTCTAACATTTTTTTTTTATTTTTGATTGATTGAAATAGTAACATTTAAGACTTTTGTGTTGGCTGATAAAAAAAACTACCAAAAACCTCTCCAACTTTTGGCAGTTGATATTTCGTTAGCACACTTTAATCATGTACCCAATAATTATATGTTTGAATTATATTTATATTATAAAAAAATTATGATTATTTTTAAAATTATATTTATTGTTTATTATTGTAAAATAAATGTGATTCAATTATATTAGCCATATTTGGTTTCCTCCTTAGAAACTTATTTTCAAAATTTTTTTTCTAAAAATTGTAAAATTTGTTTTGCAAAAAAATGAAAAAATTAAAAAAAAAAAAAAAAAAAAACTCTACAATTTATTTGTTTAATTTTTATTTTGCTATAAAATTTCTTTATATATATATATATATATTAATTTTTTTTTATTTTCTACTCAAATAGAATAGGGGTTTTATTAATTTGTCTATGAGATCATTTAAGATGTTAAAATTATTGAAATTTTGTTAAATAATGGATTGGTTGTGTGAATTATTTACTTTTTTTTCCATTGTCCCTCCTTCAATACACCATTGTCTTGAACATAGATATAGGTTTTTTTAATCTAAGAAAACATTTTGACACAGATTGTATTTTGTTAGCATTATATATTTTTATTTTTGTATTTCTAATGGTTGATAATGATGATTCTTTAGATTTTAATGTTACATTAGTTTGTTGCAGAGATACGTGTAATAGTTTTTATAAATAAAGCAGATTACTTCTAATGAAGGTAAGGGATGGAAAATAAAATTAAAAAAAGAAGAAGTGATACACTAAAAAATAGTGAAAACCCGAAAAAGAGATTAAAATATAAAATTTACCATTATAAAAACAAACCCTCTATTCAAATGGGAGAGAAACTTTTTGAGACATTAAATGATAAAAACTATAAAACCAAAATGTATAAGTAATATAGTACAAACCCAAAATAATCAATGTAAGGCCAAGATTCATTCTATATATGAAACCACAACATAACAGTTAATCTGAACTAGACACATATCTTCATGGTAGCTTTGGTGTCCTTTTATTTTTATTTTTATATATAGTAATAGTGTAATCCAGAAAAATATACACATAAAGTTATCAAATTTTTATGCACATATGATAAAATAAAGGAAAAAGATTGAGGCCTCGAATGCATGAAAGCTCGAATGCCTCGAATGTCAAAACGACGTCGTTTTGACATTCTTACCGGTAAGAGAATGACTCAGACCTAGTACAGAAAAATTATCTTACCGGTAAGAGAATAAATCTTACCGGTAAGATAATAAAAAAAATCCCAAAACGACGTCGTTTTGAAATTTCGCGCCATTCGAGCCGTTTATAATTCGAGGTACGTAGCAGTGTTGTAAAATAAAATATCCAAATGGACCCTTTGGACAAAGAAGATACTTACACTAAAAACTTGTTAATGATCGTATAGTAAACTACCATAATACCCATGCTATGCACGGGTTAAAATAAATAATTAAAAATTATTTTTGAAATTAAATTATAACAAAAAATTTGTTTATAACATAAAAGAAAATTGATTTAACATTAATTAGTTCCCATATAATTATTTTTATGAGTGGGTAATTTACGTAGACAAATTGGGCCGAGCTAAGTAGAATCATTTGTGGATGTTGGGCCGTGCAGTGGGCTAAGACAAGAGCTTAGATAGCTCAGTCCTAGGCTGAACGGTTGCAAGGCCGGTCGATGGGCTTGGATCCAGCTATGTATAATCGGGGAACAGACCGAAGTGAAATCCTCGTTAAAAGAGAAAGGTCGATCTAAGGGTAGCTCGGTAGGGTAAGCTCACAGTGGATCGGGATCGCGCAGCTCGGTCAGAAGGATAGCAGAACTAGGTAGCTCGGTTAGGCATGGTTAGCTGAGCAGGGTGTTTGGCCATCTCCGTTGGCTTGCAGTGAGGAGGGTGTTCTAAAGATAAGCATTATCCTAAAATTATGTGACTCTTAGAAGGATTGTGCTAAGGAGAGGTATAGTCCTACTAGGATTGTACCATGCGAAATCTATAAAAGCTCATGACAGAATCTGTTCCTAGGTATTGCAATTCTTACTCTCGACTACACAGAGCTTTTTGTCTGTTGTCTACTTGCTGACTTAGGCATCGGAGGGGTTTCCAGCACACACCTACTGGTAGGCTCACGTTTGTGTTTTCTGGTGATTGGACGTTGGCATTTGGAGGAGTGCAAACTTGATCAACAAGATTATATGAGAAGAATTATTTCATGCATGTAGAATTGGCGTCGTCTGTGGGAAGGATATAGAGAACTTACCTCTTGATTAAGTTTTCTTTCAACTAGCTTCAATGGCGCACAACGAAGACCT